GAAGTCTCCACGAAAAGGCACATTTTTCTACCTAAAAACTAATCTGTCATATTGCACATAAAATTTGGATCAGATTGCGCTTTCCTAATTAATGGAATAAAGTTTTGCTATTCCATACAGTCAAGTGTTGGGTGCTGTCTTGTTTCAAAAGGGCTGAAACACGCTTTTTCACCCTCATGTAGGAATTTTTATAAGAAACTTGATATAACATTGTTGACAAAAGGCTAGTTTCAAAAAAAGTACCTTATAATGAATTGGCATTGTAATGCTTTACTGTTACATACTGTTTTTCACTGAAGAAGCTCAAGGCACTCTGAGTAAACACTTGGCCTCTCTTGTCCTTTTGTGCCAGGCAGAGGAGCCCTGTTCTTGCTAGGGCTACCAGAACTCCAGACTTGCTTGGGACATATTACCCCAGTGCAGATGCACCACAGATATGTGAGGCTGGTCTGGAGCATCCCTCCAAGTTCTGTGTGGCTCATTCTGAAGCAGGAAAGGAGCCATACGCTGGACAAGTCTGCGATATGTGTTGCTATCTGGGCATTGATGAGGCTGATATCCTGAAAGAGCCCTGTGCTGAAATATTTTGGGACTTTCTCCAGCTCCTAAGACATTTGAGGCTGAGGAGGATGCAGAGATGGCTTTATTGGATGTTGAAAAAAGAAACTTACCGGAACAGTTATTCCTGCATGTGTTTCTGTAATGTTTACTGTAATGTTATTGCATATTTATGCTGCCTAGTTACTTCTAAGAATAACAAATTTTTTTTAAATATGCCACACAAACCCCCATGCCAAAGTGGAAATTGTCTCATGTTGTGTCCTACCTACAGCATAATTGTACAACACAATTCTTAAAATGGTCAGTCATGCCAGAACTTCTGTAGCTTAGTCTGCATAAAAGGCTGCTCCTAGCAATAAGCAGCTAAAACAGTTAATGCAGTTATCACTGCATTAAGTGTTGCTCTGACACAGCACTTTAAAAATTATGAATAGCAGTGCTTATCAGGTTCTTAAATTGCTTAGTCTTCTTTCAGTCTTCAGACTATAAAGGTATTTCTTAGCTGCTGTACTGTGAAATAAGAACAAACAGTGAAAGCATTAGTTTATAGTTCTATAAGAATTATCATGAGAAGGACAGTTAGAATTCAATTAGAAGGTCTTGGTCCATAGTTTAGATTAATCAACACAATCAACTTTCACTTAAAACAGTGGTCTTAAATTATTTGCATTAGACTAGTTTTCTTTATATATATATATATTTAGTTCAATCTCTTTGAGGAAACGTAGGCTGTCTAAATTTTTCAGCAATGTGCCTTTTACCCAAATCGCTAATACATCTAAATCAGCTTACCATGTAATATAAATGTTTGCCCTTTTACAAGCAAGACTGTGTACCATGTACTGCCTTTCCCTTTTCTATAATTAGCAGAAACATTTGGAAATTTCAATAACATTTTCTCTGTATCTTTACAAGAAAGAAAATGACCTAAAAAGGGAAGAAAGGCAAGTCTAGGAAGGAGCACAGCTAATCTAAACATCTCCCACAACTTGCAATCAGGGACACCTCCTCCCTTCTCCAAGCAGATCCCTTCAGTGTTTGTGTTTTGTTTTTGTTATTCAGACTCTCTCTCTTCACTACAGATTTCCCTACTTGGAAATATTATCATTTGAGATCACTGTACAGCAACAACAGATAAAGCTGTGCCAAACTGCAAACCAGCCCATGGGATAAAAGTCTGTAATCAGTAAAGGACACGTATACTGCAGACACAGGCTACCCCAACATGGAAGTATTAAGTTCATCTGTCATTTTAGTAGTGTTCACATTGTTCAGGTAATTGTGTGCTGTCTCTACACCTAGTTGACACTTATCAAATAAGAAAATTGTGAGGAAAAATGTGACTTTCCACTTGGAAAGCTGAATTTTGAACTGTCAAACGTCTTAACTACTGTCTTTACTAAAATTTCAGCCAGCAATACTTTGCCCAAGTTTCCTGACAGTAACAAATGGTTCAAAACTCTTGCATTCACAAAAATACCAGGACTATTTTATGTCAGGAAGAGACAGTATAAGAAATTAGAGGGACTTCTGTAGCATAAGAAAGCCATAAACATATTTTTCCTGACTGGTAAATCATCCACAGCAATAGGATTGGTACGAACATACAATCTCAGCATTAGAACTTCAGTAGGGCCCTATATAGAAAGTTAGATTTGTGATTCTGCAAAAGTTTAGTGCACAGCAAGTGAAAATGCCTTTAAATGTGTTTTACATGTCCATAAATATAATCAGAGTTCCAATCTCTGGACATTCAGACTTTTCCTTAGAACACTTTTACCTACAGCAATTAGGCAGAAACTGAAGGCATAACTGTTGGTTGATTTTAAGTTGGTACACAGCCTTGGTGAGTCCTCCTGTGAAACCTCTACCACCTGCACAAATTTTGGATAATAAACCAAACATAAAGGCTAATTTGCTGGAAATTACGTAAGGCCAGACCTATTTAGCAGAAATCCCAAAAAGCAATTTATTTTTGCAGAGATTGCGATCTCTAGAGCCCCTTCTTGGATACTAATGCTGTGGAAAAATAAGCTGGTTTTTTTTCCATACAATTCTTCCCATTTTGCCAGTTAGAAACACAGTCAGCTTTGGCAAAGACCTGGGATAGTAGCAGTGACAATAAATTGAAAGCTTTAAAATAAACTTGGCACTAAGCCTCACTGTGTTGCTAGTTTAATGTTCAATTTGAGGTCAATCAAGGCTTTCACTCAGTAAGTAGATACCATAGGCTAAGTGTACTGCTAGATGTGAAGGACACAAAGGCATGACATTTATTTAATTACAATTCAGACAGACCACTGAGATGGTAGTTTGTTCCCATAGGAATGAACAATTAACAGTAGTTTCTGGGACAGTTAAAAGCAACTTGATTATTAGGGGTTTGGCCCCTTTATACCAAAGCTTTTTGATGGGAACTGTAAGGCTTGCCAAGTTGGAATGAGGACTTAATATTTAAGGGAAAAAAAAGAAAATGGTCATGTTTAATTTGTGGTTGTAAAAGATGACTGGATTATGGGGAATGCTTTTAGGTTTCAGAATAGTGTTGAGGACTGCAGGGGAAGAGCACTGGCCAGGCAGTACTAAAATAAGGGGTCATTTTGGCAAAGGAAACTACTTTATTGTTAATTCCTTAGGAGGCTTAGGGTGACACTTAAGTCCCAAGCCAATCTACATTTCTAGTTTTTATCTCAGTCTTGCAGGATCCATCAATAGATCCAGTTTTTCAGCCTTCACTGTTTATCTCTCAACCTAACCCTAATCTGAACTAGGGATTTTTTTAAGGAAAAAGCAGGCAGTCAAGCTAGTTGCTTCCTGTCATCTTTAGCCTTCATCTAACACCCAATATCGACTGGCACAAAACACATTAAGGCAGATCCTGGAGAAGAAATTAAGTGAATTATTTTTAAAGATAGCATTTGACACAGCAGAGTCTAAAGAACAATTTTTTTATTGTTCCACATGGTTTACAGGTGTAAGATGAGTACTCAGTACAAACTCAGGTTTGTCTAAAGGTGCAAGTTGCTGGTTTCTCTTTACATTGAGGCTTAGACAACAGCCAGGAACTAAACTGTCAGTCACATGTACTATTGGATCTCACAGTTTCTTAGCTGAGACTGTGACTGGAATGAACAGAAGCATATGATTTTACATAGACACAATATGCTGGGATTGTTTTAGGACTCCTTTCAAGCTTGAGCTTTAGGATAAAACCCCAAAGTCGTTACACTGTGTTTTGGCCATGATGCTAAAATGAAGGCATATGGTAAAGAGGTAGATATTTGAAAGACAATTATGAGATAGGTTATGGGTAACTTGACTGTAAGGTTGAGCAAAAGCAAAGATTAAAATGTAAGGCGCTGTTCCACAAAGGCAGCAGTGCTACAGTGAAGCCTGGTGCTAGAAGATATGCATGGAGGTGAGTAAGAATTTCAGTAGCATCCAGGTACATCTGGAAAAATGGTGGCATATCACTTACACAACTTCAATGAGGATCAGTGAAAATTAGCTACAGCACTCTTAAAAATAAATTTGGCAACACATACACTTTGGCATGTAGTCACCCCTGAACACAGGAAACAAACAACCATCTTCTAGGGCAGGATTTCTTTTGACTCATTGAAAGACCTTCATCCTGTTCCCAGAACTTGACCTAAATAAAGTTACCCCTCCTGTTTCTGAAATGGGTGTATTCAAAGACCGCCCTATAAATGGTTGGATTGCATCTTCTTCCTCAGTCATTCTTTGTAAGTCCTGAATATTGCTACATGTAGGAGCTGCCAAATTTTCCCTTTCTGGCTGTAAACAGAACGGGTGCAGCTGGGGGCTATGGAATTTTTTAGAAAGCTTTCTAACTTCCCCCAGCATTTCACATTTCTGCTCTCACCACCACTCTCTCCCTGTCAGTGGGAAAAGACACAAACATGAACACGGAAGGGTTATTTGCGGGTAGTCCTTGTTTGTAGCGCTGCACGTACGGCAGTTTTTAATGATGTGTTCTCTGCGCTAAATTAAGCCTGGGCTCTTGGGAGTAATTGCTCTGGCTTCCTTTAATGAAGCAATAATCCTTGTTAAAGTCAGCACGCATAACGCGTAGCCTTTTGCAACCTGCAAAGCCACTACTGAGCTGCAGAGAGAATTCTCCATCCCAGTCCCTGCTTTAGGAGGCGACCGGGGGTCGGTGTTCTTTTGACTCCCAGGTGGTACTTTCGGAGGGGAGTTCCTTCGGCTACGTGCGCTAGGGCAAAAACAACCGCACCAGAAAAAGCTCTTACTCAACGAGTTGCTGCCCGGACGCCACCGAGCCAAAGCACAGCCACAGGAGCGGTGACCGGGACGGGGGCGGGGGCGGTGTCGGGTCCCCGACGGAAGGGCGGGCCCGCTGCGAACCCACAGCAGCGGCTCCCCCAGCGGTGGGCGGCTCCGGCCCGGTTCCCGCCATGCTGTTCCGCTTCGGGGTGGTGCTGCCCCCGGGTGATGGAGGGCGGCGCGGAGCTGCTGGTGGTCGGGTCGCGGCCGGAGCTGGGCCAGTGGGACCCCCGCAGCGCGCCGTGCCCATGAGGCCGGCGCGGCCGAGCGCCCCACTGCCCGCGCAGAGCCCACGCTGTGGCTGGCGGAGGTGGAGCTGCCGGACGAGGACGCCGCCAGCCCCTTCTGGTACAAGTTCCTGCGGCGGGAGGGCGGCCGCCTCCTGGAAGGTAACGGAGGGGCCCCGCTGCGCCGCCCCCGCACCCCCAGCACTGCCCGGGCCGCGAGGACGCGCCCGCCTGCCGGGTCGGGCCGGAGGGGGGAGCAGCGGAGCCGGCGCTTCTCCTTGAAGGAGGGCATTCCCTGCCCTCGGCTCCCGCAGCTCCGCCTTCCTCCTCCCGCGTCCGGGAGAGTGTCCCTGTCAGACTGGCCGCAGCTCGAGTTTGATCCTGCCGCTGCTCTTGTGCGGGGGTGCCCCGAACTGTGCTTGCAGGTAGAACTACCCAGGCTGTCGTGACGTGACATGAGTTCTCGCTAACAAAAACATTTTTTAACCATGTGATGGAGGAGAGTGAATGCAGAAGGAAGCAGCTCTTCTAGGTTGGTAAAAGCCCTTCAAAACAGTTTAATTCTTTTTTTTTTTTATCCCCCTTTTTTTACCACCATTGTCATGATGCTTTGTTTTGGTTTTATTTTTCCCAGAAGTAAGAACTCAGAATTTTCTACTTAGGCAGTAAGGTGCGGGCTGTTACTTTTTTTGCTAAGCTGAAATGTCATGGTGGCATTTTCAGGCTGACAAATTTTACCATTGGAATTTCTAAAAAAAACCCCAAAACAACAAGAAGTTCTATCACAGCTTTTCCTTTTGCAGTTTCAGTAGTATTTTCACCATGGTTTTCTCCTGTGCTGTCAAATGTTGAATAACTGGTCATTTTACATGTGCTGTTCTGAGAACGCTCATACAGTTGTCTGCTGAGTCAAATAAAGCTCTAAATATACCTTTTGTTACTGAGGAATGGATCTGACCCTGTGAAAGGAAGACATGACTAGGTGATTTGTGAGGTTTTTTTTTAACTCATAGTTTTATAATCCGTATACCAAAATAACACATTGTAGAGCAGTTGCTCTTCAACCATTTTAAGAATACATACCACACTTCTAAACTGCCATTCTGTCATGTAGACTAAAACATGCATGTTGTCATCACTGTTGCATTTGTTTTTTCTTCTTTATGCTAATAAAAGGCTGCATGTTAATGCTACATTCACACAAGGTTACGTCATGAAATACTATATACATCATGCAATAGTAATCGTTTTATTTAGCAGCTGTATTTCACCTGTTTTAACCATGTTTTTCTTTTGCAGAATTGCAGGAAAATTGAATTTATGGAATAAAAATCTTTACATCTATCCAAGGAAGCAGAATTGTGTCTCTTTTGAAAGTGCAAAGTTGTACATAGTATGCCAATGATATTGGTATATAAAGAGATCTTTGCCATATAGAATACAGAAATAATAATAAGAGTGTTCCAGACTATAGAGAATCGGCAATATAAGGTTGATGGTTACTGTTTAGTTTGGAAGTAGTGATAGCTCAAGATATTGTCTGTTCCTGGAGGCATGTTCAGGAATACTACTTCTGTAATCAGAGTAATAAACATACTCTGTTTTATCAGATTTTCAGTTTTAGGTTTAACCTCTGTGGCATTTTGATCTTGTTATTGTAAATGCTCAGCAGTTAGCTCACTGCTTGGCTGGAATGATGGAAAGCAAATGGGCATATCATCCAAATGCAGAAGAGTTTTTTAATTAGGCATTCATATCAACAGCTTTTTTCCTAAGTTAATACTTACAGGAAAGAACTAAATTTGCTTAAACCTTGAAATTATTGTTCTTCATTTATTACGTGAAGGGAGCCTAAGGATGATTTTCTGTCTGATACTTAAGCAATCTTGCACTTTTTTTTTTACTTAATTTGTTTTAATGTGTTGGGGTTTTTTTAACTGTATCAATAAAAGTTTTGACTGTCATCTGCTTATTCTTTTAAAGATCACAATTTGAAAAGACAACTCTCATTTTTAAGAAAAGAATATTTTTTTTTGTAATAAGCAAGTGTAATAAGCTGTGCCTTGTCTCTTTAGTATCCTCTTTAGCATGTGTTTAGAATTAAAATGTGCTTTGGGAGACATTTAGCATTTACAGAACATCTGCAGTTTTGAAGAATGGTTATGGGAGATAGAGGAAGTGCAGAATGATACTTGCTCTAAGTTTATGAGTTGTGGCATTCATCTGTAACCACAGAAACTCCAGTCAAGTTATGGATGTCTTAGATGTTTACATATATTGGATGTTGAAATAATGTACTGTATTTACTCCCAGTTTTTTATTACTACATACCTGTGAGAATCCCTCTGGTGACACATACTGTTTTCATAATACTACAGTACATGTTGTATCACATGTTTTGTGTATAAGTTACAGCCATTCCAATGCACTGGGGAAACTGAAAGATAAAGTGAGGGTATTTGTTTCTGTGGGCTGGAAGAGTCAAAGTCACAGGCCAGTGTTTTGTGGCTTCTGGGTTCTGCCAGGTGGTCTGGTAGGAAGCTTTCAGGCAAGGCTTGGTCTATGTGAGAATCTCTGGGTTGCTGCTTGTGTTGGGAGGGAACTATTTCCGCTCTCTAGGAGGAGGAGGTGGAAGAGGAAATTCGTTTTTGCTCCTGAAGGATCAGATGCTTACCTCTGCTGTCCCAGGGTAATGTTGCTGATCTGCAACCAGGACCTGTACTTGAAGCCATTGAGCATTTCTGGCTCAAATCACATGAGCTGTCTAAGGTTTCTTCAGGGTTGGTACTTGCTTAACTGTCTCGAAAGCTGAGGCCTGGTATTCAGGAGGATTTTTAACTGTGCTGTGGTATCTGTGGAAAACAGGTTGGTTATGTTGAGCTTTAGAATCTGGCAATAGGTTTAGAAAAAAATAATAATATATACTTTGTTCTCCCCAGCTGCACCTGTGTCTGTCTGTGGACTTTTTTTCCGATGTTGATTCTTCAAAACTGGATTTAAGGTGTCTCAGCTTGGAAAGTAAAAGCATTTTGTGCCTACTGTCAAAACTAAATAAATACAAGTTGAAACTTACACTTGAAATTTTTTTTTGAGTAAATCATTGAACTCTTATCTGTACCTTTATCCCCTTTACTCTCATCTAAGTAAACTTTAGGTACTAACCAAGAAACATACTCCATAAAAGGACAGAGGAGTTACTAAGGGTATGTCCCAAACGGTATTTTGAGATTATGGAATACAGTGTATCGACACCTTATGTTTTGAGAAGGGTAAAAATATACATAAAAAACATGAGCTTGTATTTTAAAATGTTGATCCACTGCTGTCCAGGGAAGCTGTGGATGCCCCATTCCTGGAAGTGCTCAAGGCCAGGTTGGATGGGACCCTGAGCATTCTATGATTTTCACCCAACTAGTTAGTTTGAAGTTTGACAGATACAATCTTGCTTGTTAAAGCTCAAGAGCACAATCAGCCTACATTTTAGGAATTTGTTCAGGTGAACAGGGCCTTATTCATTCCAAAAAAACCTCCTTTTCTAGTTTTGGAGAGAGGGGAGGAGAGAAAAGAGATGGAGGAGAGAAAAGAGATGTCTTGTTCGCACGTAGGTGCTGTTACTGTTCTTAGTGGCTTCTTGGAGGCCCAAACCAAATAATGCAATACAGTTTGATTTATAAAGAGTTATATTACTCAGCCTGTGGCTTGCTATGTTGGCTTTCCAACATTTCCAGTTCATGCTCCTGTGAGCTTGTTTGTTGCAGTTTAAGCCATATGTTGGACAACGTACACTTGTGATAGTTCAGAAAGACTGGTACATTGGCTAAACAGGGACCTTCTCTTGGATATAAGGCAAAAAGGAAGGCATACAGCAAGTGAAAGCAAGGTTAAGTGATATGGGAAGAATTCAGAGATGCTGCTTGCCACTGTAGGGAGAAAATTCATGCAGCCAAAGCTCAGCTGGAGATGAAGCTGGTCAGAAAGGTGGGGGGCAATAAAAAGTTTTTTCAAATACATTAATGACAATAGGCAGTATAGAAATATCATTGGCCTGTTACAGGATGAGGATGGTCACCTCGCAGACAGGGACAGAGACAAGGCAGAGGTGTTTAGTGCTTTCTTTGCCTCTGTCTTCAACACGGATGAAGGACCAAGGGGGTCTCAGTGCCTGAGCTGGAGGACCATGACAGCGAGAACAGTTGATCCCGAAAGTTTGTGGGATCTGCTGCTCCAGCTGGATCCCTGCAAATCTATGGGGCCTGATGGGATTCATCCCAAAATCCTCAAAGAGCTGGCTGATGTTATCGCAAAACCTCTAAATGATTTTTGAGCAGTCTTGGGAATCCAGATAACTGGAAGCCAGCGAATGTTGTCATGATTTTCAAGAAGGGCAAGAAGGAGGACCCTGGAACTCCAAGCCTGTCAGTCTCACTTCAGTGCCTGGTAAAGTTATGGAGAAGATTATTCTGGGAAGTACTGAAAAACACCCAAAAGACAACATAGTCATTGGTCACAACCAGCACAGCTTCATGAGAGAAAAGTCCTGCTTACCAAACCTGATTTCCTTCCATGACAAGGTAAATCATTTAGTTGATCAAAGGAAGCCAGTTGATGTAATCTTTTTGAATTTCAGTAAAGCTTTCAGTACTGTCTCTCACAGGGTACTTCTGAACAAAATGTCCAGCACACAGCTGGACATAATGTGGTGGGTGAGCAGTTGGCTCACGGGTCGAGCACAGAGGGTAATAGTGAATGGGGTAACATCAGACTGGTGACCTGTCAGAAGTGGAGTTTCACAGGGCTCCATCTTAGGCCCTGTGCTCTTCAACATCTTCATAAATTACTTGGAAACAGGACTAGAAGGGATACTAAGCAAATAATAAAACAAAACTGGAAGGAGCTGCTGACTCCCTCGAAGCCAGGGGGACCCTTAAGAGAGACCTTGACAAACTAGAGGGCTGAGCAATCACCAACCTTATGAAGTTCAACAAGGGAAAGTGCCCGATTCTGCACTTGGGATGGGACAATCCTGGATGTTCATACAGGCGGGGGAATGAGATGCTGGAAAGCAGTGCCATGGAAAGGGACCTGGGGGTCCTGGTCTATGGCAAGTTGAATGTCAGCAGTGCCGTGGCAGCCAGGAGGGCCAACTGTGTCCTGAGGGACAT